TACTTGTTATGTGGATGATATGGTAACTGGAGCAAACAATAAGGAATCTGCAATAAAATTGTGTCAAATATTTTACATGGTGGTCAATTTCATTTGAGAAAGTTGGTTTCAAACAGTGTTGATGTATTAGAAACGTTATCCTCTTCTGATTGGAATTCTAATTTTATTTCACTTGGTGAATAGGATCAAAATAAAACACTTGGTTTGCTATGGGATTTTAAAATTGATGTTCTTCAATTTTCAATTAATTTTTATTTAAATACAGTTTTAACGAAAAGATTAATGTTATCTGAAGTTTCTAGAATTTACGATCCTCTTGGATTGGTTTCTCCAGCCATATTATTGTAACTAAAATTCTCTTACAACTTTAAAGCTGAAATGGGATGACAATTTTCCAGATGATATATCTCAGAAATGGAAAAAGCTGAGATCTCTTTTCTCTGTTTTAGACAGTTTAAAAGTTCCTATGCAGATTGTATGTAAGGCACCTGTTTTTATCGAACTTCATGGGTTTGCAGATGCATCTTTAGAAGCATATCTTGAGAAGTCAAGATTTAAATGGGCAAATTTATACTGCATTACTGTGTTCAAAGGGTAAAATTTCACCTTTCAAAACATTATCAATTCCTAGGTTAGAACTATGTGCTGTCTTTGTTTTGGTTCAACTAGTTGAGAAGGTTAGAACTTCTTTGAATATAAACTTTTCAAATATTACATATTGGTCAGATTTAACAGTGGTTCTTTGTTGGATAAAAATTATCCCTTCTCTTTTGCAAACGTTTGTTGCAAACAAAGTAGCTCAAATACAAAGATTAACTTTCTCAGATAGATGGCTTCATGTAAAATCAGCAGATAATCCTGCTGTTTTATCTCGAGGTTTGATTCCTCAACAATTAATTGATTGCGAAATTTGGTGAAAAGGGTCAACTTGGTTGTCCTTAAATGAGCAGTCATGGCCTCAATCTAGTTTTCCAATGATTGAAAAGGTTGAGATACCAGAAATGAAAAACCAATTTCAAACACATTTGGTAGTTAGAGGTTTTTGCTTTCCATTTAAGAGTTTCTCAACATTAGGTAAACTTAAACGTGTGTTAGCGTATTGTCTGAGATACATTCACAATTTAAAAACCAAAAACACAAAGTTGGTAGGTCCTTTATCCAATTTAGAATTAGATGCCTCTTTAAAAATGTTAATTAAATTGTCATAGAAGGAATATTTTTCAGATGTATATATTGCACTTAATGCCGAACAGCAACCAAAATTTTAAACTATTACTTCATTAACACCCTTTATAGACAACTTAGGTTTTCTGAGGGTGGGGGGTCGGTTACAACTGTCCGATTTGGATTATGCTAAAAAAACATCCTACCTACTTTCAGCAAAACATTGATTTACAAAAATTTTACTCAAATATAAACGTATTAGATTGTTACATACTGGTCCACAACTTTTCTTAAGTTCTATTCATGAACATTATTGGATTATTGGTGGGAGAAATTTGGCGAGAAAGGTGATATTTTCTTGCATTCGTTGTTTTCGAGTTGTACCAAAGCATGGAAATCAAATAATGCCAATTTTGCCAGGAATGAGGGTTAGACAAATGCCCCTATTTTATAATACAGGTGTAGATTATGCCGGTCCATTTTATATAAAAGATAAGGTGTCTACGTTGAGAAAGGAGTAACCATACCAAATTTCAAGATAATTGGACTTATAGTTTTGGAGATTTGGTGATGAGCCAGTGACTTCCTGTGTTTTTCTTCACGTATAGTGAAGAAAAACACGGTATACCCGCACTTTATCAAGCTCTTCCCGGATTACCTTTACGGTAATAGGTGTAAGGTAATTACACAGCTTAGGTTGATTAAGGTAGATATTACTAGTGTTATTATTTCAGTTAATACCACACATGCAACGAATTTAATTTACTCCACAGAGTCTACTTTGAGTGTACAATTTTTACTAGATTATTTTTAAAATCGTGTTTTGGTAAAAAATACGTTAGTATCTATGCAACCAATATTACTTTCTTTTATTTTTAGTTGCATCTACATAACTTCATTCATTTTAATGACAAATAGATAATCATATTAATTTATTCTCAACGACTTGTAGTGTGTTTACATTTCTTGTTAAAATTATTTAGTTTTTACGAAAGTGGGATATTTTGTCGTGTATTATGTTTCGAATTGTTTTGTGCTAATTTAGAATGGAAAATAGGGACCAACACAACACTACTACTACTAGGTTGTAAGTTCACTAACCAAATTTTATTTTTATATAGTCAACCTTCCCTTTTTTTGATATAAACTTTCAATAAAGTTTATTGTCGCGCAAAGCCTACCCTGTCCTTCGCTTACTCCTTGCCTGCGGTATGAACTCTAGTGCCAGCATATAGAGACAAACGCACCGCTTCTCGAAAGGACCAGAAAAAGCGGTACGTGGCCGTTGATTCATAAAGATGGAACTTCGGACATTCGAGAACGTTTAGAAACTACTAGTACAGAGTTGGCTTTGTATAGATAGCGCGAGTTTTTTGACAGACGGGCCGATTGGATTTAAGTGTTGGATAGGAAAGATAAATTGTAATAATAGTCGAAGCATTGAAGCAAAACAGTTCGGAATTTTTAGACTGAGACGGATCGGAATGCGGTTTTTTGCATTCGCTTCCAAAAATATTTTTGAAAAAACGTCCCTACCTTTTATCTTATATAAACCGAAATTGCATTGCTGCAGCCAAAAATGCATTCAAAAAATGCATTTTTTGAGACGGCTTTTGGAATATTAAAGAACTTTGTAAATAAGAGTCAGAACTGGCCCAAATTGGGTTGGCGGGGGTTTCGAAATCGCTGATCACGATTATAATGTTTAAATTGACCCAGAGCCGACCTGGAGAACAGGAATACCGATGAACGTCATCTTCGTGGGACTCACCCAAAATGTATGTGGGGAAGGAGAGAAACTCAGCGCCCGAGGGTTTTTTGGGTCGCTGAATTTAAATATGGCATCGGTGAACACCCCTTGGATATCTGGTATGCCGGAACCTGGACGTGGATGCCATCCCTGAGAATTTTTTTTACAAAATCGTCAAAAACAACCGGAAAATCATTGTGGAGGCGTTTTTTGTGGCGGTGAATTCAAATTTCACGTCGAAAACGACCCCTGAGCACCTGTTGCATTGGAACCAGGATGCGTTTTTTGTGGCGGTGAATTCAAATTTCACGTCGAAAACGATCACCTGATGCACCGGAACCTGGATGCGAACCTCATCTCTGTGGGTTTTCCTCACGCAATCGAAAAAGATGAACCGAAAATCGTAATGGGGGGTTTTTGGGTCGCTAAATTCGAATTTCCCGTCGACAACGCCCCCTTCAAAACCTGGTGCAACAGAACGTGGCCCTGAACGTCATTTTCGTGGGGCTCTCCCAAAATTCACGCGGGGAAGTACAGAGACTCGGCGCCCGGGTTTTTTTGGGTCGCTGAATTTAAATGTGGCATCGTCGAACACCTTCCGGACACCTGATGTGCCCGAAACTAGACGTAAACGTCATTCCTGAGAATTTTTTTTGACAAGATCGCCAAAAACAACCCGAAATATCTTTTACCCATTAAATGGAAACAGGCTAAAAAAAGTGCTAGATTTTGCTTCGAGTGTATTAGAGTGGCAGATTCTTAAATATTGTGCAAGGTCTAGTACAATTGTACTAGACTGGCAACACTGCGTAGGAAACTGTTTTTGTGTATACTTACACAAAAGCATTTCGAGCGTTGGGAGTAAAGTGAAAGGTCGAGGTTCCGGTGTACCAAATGTTGGGAGGGTCGTTTTCTACGTGAAATTCGGATTAAGCGCTCTAAAAATCCTCCCATAACGATTTTGGGTTCGTCTTCCTCGATCGTGTGAGGAAAACCCTCAAAGACGACGTTAAGGGCCAGATTCCGGTGCACTAGGTGTTCGGAGGGTCGTTTTTGACGTGAAATTTGGATTAAGCGCCCAAAAACGCCTCTACAATGATTTTCGGGTTGTTTTTGGCGATCTTGTCAGGAATATTATCAGGGATGACGTCCATGTCCAGGTTTGGGCACACCAGGTGTCCGGGGAATGTTCGTCGATGCCACATTTGAATTCAGCGCCCTAAAAAACCCTCATAACGATTTTTGGTTCGTCTTTTTTGATTGTGTGAGATAAACTCACGGAGATGAGGTCCGCGTCCAGGTTCCGATGCACGAAGTGTTTAGGGAGTCGTTTTCAACCTGAAATTTGTATTCAGCGTCCCAAAAAACGTCCCTACAATGATGTTTGGGTTATTTTTGACGATCTTGTCAGGAAAATTTTAGGTGATGACGTCCACGTCTAGGTTCCGGCATACTAGGTATCCGGGGGGGTGTTCGCCGATGCCATATTTGAATTCAGCGACCCAAAAAACCCCCCGGGCGCCAAGTAACTCTCCTTCTCCGCGTGAATTTGCGGATAGTCCCAGGGAGATGACGTTTATCGGCGTTCCAGAGTTCCAGGTCGGCTGTGGGTCAATTTAAACATCATAATCCTGATCAGCGACCTCGAAAACCCCGCCATCCCGATTTGAGCCAGTTCTGTCTCTTATTTACAAAGTTCTTTAATCTTCCAAAAGCCGTCTCAAGAAATGCATTTTTTGAAAGCATTTTTGGCTGCAGCAATGCAATTTCCGGTCGGTAAAAGATAAAAAGTAGGGCCATTTTTTTCTAAAATATTTTTGGAGGCGAATGCAAAAAACCGCATTAGTCTAAAAAATTCCGAACTTCTGGCCTTTTTACTGCTTCATTGCCTCGATTATATTATAATGAATTTAAAACCAAAAAAGTTTTATTTTTATGTTCTCTTTTCGTAACTGGTAATTTAATGAATTTTTCTTAACCAGTTTCATAATGTTCAACTTTATACAACTGGTTCCATAAAGTAGATCACGAGTGTCACCATTATTTTTGTTAAAGATATATAATTCTGAAAAATCATATTATTTACCTAAATGATAATCTTTCAAATCCCCGAGGTTGCATTTTCTCAATATTATTTCCATTATCGCACAATAATCTGGATATACTGGACTTTCTAATTTCTTGAAGTTGTTCCAAATTAAAACCGTTAGGTCCTTCGTTCTCAAACCAAAATCTGTCTCCGACCCTAGTTCTGTAAGATGCTTCTACGATAATACCGAGAAAGGTGGGACCAACCAATGCACCTGGAAGATTTTTTTCTAGTGATCCACCGACTACTAGATCGACATCGTCAGGGCTCTCATAAAGTTTTGTTAATTTTTCCACATTCTGAAGAAAAAAAAAACGAATACTCCCTTACTTTTTTTGTTCTGAATTTGTTTACCTTATTAATTATATATGATGTTCCTACAGTCTGTTCGCTATACTTACGCGGGTTTCGGATTAACAAAATTATGCAAATTAGTCATTGACAACCAATTCCAATAAGCCTCTTCCCAAGAAATTAGGTAAAGTTGCCCTAATGGTCAGATTTAAATTAAAATAACATTAGGGTAGGTACTAAATTTGATATAAATATTGCAGTTGAATTGATTCTTTGCAAGTGTTGACATTGTATGTATATTGTGAATTTAGTGGAAATTTTAAAAATGCCTAGACGTGTGTTAAATGTAGATAGTCTAATTTGTAGTGTACATAAGTATTTTACGGATGAAAAAGAAAATGGCGGTCCCTTAAAATCGGTAAAGTCTGTACAACAACGCTTATGCGATGCTCTAGGAATTAGTGAAACCAAATTAAGAGGAGTATTACAAAATCACAATAGTGAACTGCCGAAAGAAGATCACCGCAAAACTCGCCCATCATTTAAAACGAAAGATATTCCAGATGGAGAGAAATTTTAAATTCGTGATACCATTTATCGAATGAGGGCCAACAAGGAACATGTGACCTTAAATACAATTCTCTCGGAATTAATAGATAGAAAATTTGACGACATTGGCAGAACAAGTCTATGGCAAGTGATACATAACTTAGGTTTCAAATTTCAGAAAGAGGATAACAGAAAGGCCCTTTGTGAAAGAAGTTCTGTCGTGCACAAAAGAATTAACTTTCTAAGAAAATATTCTAAATTTAAAGAAGAAGGGGCGAATTTTTATTTATTTAGACGGAACATTGATATTTTCTAGGGGTGCAACAAGAGAATATGGCAAGATGATAACGTAAAGTCCATCAAACATACCGATAGAGAAGGGAAGCGACACAGCATTTTACATGCAGAAGGGAAATCGGGTTTTATAGAAGGTGCTGATTTAATATTTTCATCTAAATCAAAATCCAGTGACTATCACGATAATATGAACACAGAAATATTTGTAAAATGGTTGCATGAAAAATTTCTCCCAGATTTAAGTGAGCACAGCGTAATTATTTTAGACAATGCACCTTACCATTCTGAAGTATTATGTTGATAAAATAAAAGAATGGTTGACAAAGGAACATATACCATTTCCTCAATATATATTAAAATCAGAATTATTACGCTTGGCAAATATACACGCAAAACCAAAAATCTTTGTTGTGGATCAGATTATTAAAAGTTACGGTCATCAAGTTTTACGTCTGCCACCGTATCATTGCCAGTTTAATCCCATCGAATATATATGGGGAATAGCAAAACAATATTATGACAACCATATTGGGCCTAATGGTTATAGTGACGACGCAGTTTGCGAAACTTGGCGAAAAGCACTTTCAATTGCAACTCCAGAAGTGTGGTGGAACTGTATATCCAAGTGCGAGAAACTAATAGAAGATTGGTGGACTCGTGAAAATAAAATACACGAAATAGTCCAATCATAATAACAATTAATGGTGATGACAGTGATGATGATGACGATTATGATATTTTTTATGATAATGACTGATTTTCGTTTTTGTTGGCAAGTTCAATTTATTTTTCATTTGAAATTCTCTACAAGGAACAAACTTTTATGTTAGAAAATATTTTATTTGAGCTAAATAACCCTCTTATTATACATAGATCATATTTTCTGTGTGAAGTGTAATATAAAATTAATATTAGGTTTATAATAGCCACATTAGACTCCATTAATGAAGAAGTTTAATTCTGCTCTCAATTATACAAAAGATTCTCCATTATTATTTATTTAAAAAGTTGTACATTATTTTTCATTTCATTTAACCTGTTGATATTTCCCCAAAGAACAGGTCAAACTTTCGGATACTTACCTGGAAATACTCATAAAATTTTTAATCCGAAACCCGCGTAAGTATAGCAAACAGACTGTAACTGTCACGTCAATACTAAAAGAGGCAATTGCTTGGCTTTATTTGTTTACTAAAATTCCACAAAACCAAGCAAATTGCTTTTTTTAAGATACAAAGTATTAGAAATAAAACAAGTAATCGAATTTTCCTTAATATTCCAAAAACCCTTTTAACGATTTTGATTAAACTGAGCAGGTTTATTTGTAGTACTCATAATTTAAATTTGATTATAATGAAACAATTACAAAATAAGGCTGGTAGGTAACCTAATTGATATTTTTGAATACTCTATATCTTAAAAAAAGGAATTTAGAACACATGTTTATATAAAACTTTAGTTATAAAATATGTCAATAATTAGCGCCCTAAATGTTGACAGGACAGTTAGAAATGCCCTGTACTTATATAGAATGGAAAATAAATCTGAAAACATTTGATTTACTCGAATGCTGGTTTTTAAATTTGGGATGTGGACGTGTCGATTTCGGTTTTGTTGCCAAATTGATCGTTTTTACTTTCCTATCTGTATACAGATATAAGGAAAGTATAGGAATCATGATTTTTTTAGACCTCGAGTTTTCGACGGATTTTTACGTTTTGAGGTCCCCTGAATCCGTTTTGACTATTTTCGCGATGATGTCTGTGTGTGTGTCTGTATCCACCATAACTCATGAACCGATACACAGAAAAACACCAAATTTTAAACTTAAGCTTTATTCCAGCGTCCAATGAACTGATTAGATTTTGGGCAGAGTCGGAACATCTGGGGGGGGGGGGTACTTTATGGGTGGTCATTTTTATATTTTATGAAATATATCTGTTATTTACGTTTGGAGAAGAACATCCTTTAAATATAAGTTACTTCTAATATTATTATCTATAATTTTTGTTCTATACAAAATTTTCCTAAAATGGTCCGTATTCGAGAAATTTGACAAAATGTAAAAAAAGTATTTTTATAAATATTGTTCAAATAAAAGTTGTTTGTTATATAATTCTCTATAATTTTTATTCCATGCTTAATTTTTCGAAAATGGACCGTATTCGAGATATTTGAGAAAATGTGTAAATTTTGAATAAAACTTAAAAACGGATAAAGAAAAAACATTAAATTTTAAAGTTAAATTTTATTTCGGCCTGACGTGAAATGATTAGATTTTGGACAAAGTCGGAACATCTGGGGGGTACTTTATAGGAGGCCGTTTTTATATTGTATGGAATATATCTGTTATTTATGTTTGGAGAAAAAAATTGTTCAAATAAAAGTTACTTCTAATATTATTATCTATAATTTTTGTTTTATGTCAAAATTTCCTGAAATGGTCCGTATTCGAGAAATTTGACAAAATGTGCAAAAATCTGATTTTTATGAAAATTGTTGAACTAAAACTTTTCGTTTTCAATGGGTATCTTTAGAAAAATGTTTCGAGGTAAATGTATGTGGAACATGTATATATTTAGTTTATCCTCTAAACATTTATAGAGGTGCTGCAATAGGTTGTACAAAATAACCAGAAAAAGCCTATAATAACTAGATAGGAAAGTCATTTGTTGGACACATCAGATTTTTTTTTATATTAATAAACTTATATAAAATAAAAAAAAAATATAAACTGTAACGTACTGAACTGGGATCAGGGGTGGCTCGTGACCAATATTTTGTGGGTTCATAGTAGCAGAATATAGATATCGGTACAGATGTAGGTAAAAACTGTCAGTGTTTTAGAAAGGTATATTATAAACTTTCTAAAACACTGAAAGTTTTTTCATACATCTGTACTGCAATCTAAATTCTGTCACTGTGAGCCTCCAAAATTTTGGTTACGAGCCGCCACTGACTAAGATCAAAGTGTACAATCAAAAAAATTAAACAATATTATACACTGTGTTACTATTAAAAACCAAGGAATTTATATATAAAAAGAATGGTCAATCTGGCAATAATGCAATAACAAAACATAAATCAGTATGTTCTTAAACCCGTACATCCCAAATTTCATACACTTTTGACATACCGTTTTTGAGAAAATGATTTATTTACAGATTTTTCTCTATGTATCTTAAATCATACCTCCAAGCTGATAAAATCTAAAAAGTCCTCAAACTTTTTAGCTCTTGGTATTTTCCAGAGTTCCCTATAATCGTTATAAGATGCTATGCCATGGTCTCTACTTCTTTGAATATCAAATGCTTTCAAATCGACTCCAAATGTTTCATTATCGTTTCTAAATAAGAATTGTGTCACCTAAAACAGAATAATAATTTTAAGGATAATATAATATACTTATTAGCTTCTTTTCTTTGGTTTTAAGGGTGGTGTAAAATTGACCAATTCAGTTATTTAAACGGTGTAGTTCAATAAAGCTTTAAAAGAGAAAATAGGAGTGGTGTAGTCTAGTGTTCTTTGTAAAGGATGGGACAAAATAAAGAGCTATTTTAAAAAACCTGGCGTATCGACCAAGTTTCTTGTGTATTAGCATTTAGAAAAAAATGGAGCTATGGACCCTTTAGAAGCACTCGTATGCTTTAAAGGTGTTTTATCAAAAAGAGTTATCTTCAAATCAAGTAATTTCTCGAAATGGGGACATCGTCTGGCCTCCCCGTTCACCAGACCTCACATCGTGCTTCTTTTCTTGTGGGGTCACTTGAAGAGTAAAGTGTTTCAAGATAACTCACGATAAACAATTCAAGAGAGGAGTGGACCTGGCAATGCTGCGGAACGTAATAAACAATTTCAGAGTACAATTAAAAAAATGTGTTCGCCTGAACGGACGTCATCTTTTCGCAGTTTTTTTTCAAAAAATAAAATCAAAAATTCGGAACGTTTATGTTTATGTCAATTGTCATTTGTCACTCTTTCTTCTCATGTCATGTTTTTGATGGTTGTTTTTTAACATGGAGAATTTATTTTAAAAATAATTTTTATACATTCGAGTAGAATTGGTAAGGATCCTCTATAAAATAGAAAACTATTTTCTAAACCATTTTCTTCGTTTCAGGTTACAATGCCTCGTGTAAATTTAATATTTCATTTATTAGAGTTGCCACCTTTTTGAAACGTGAATAAAGGACTACTATGCTGACAGGGGCTTCGGAATACAAAAAGTCCTCATCCTTCTGGGGTATGGGGTATAAAGGAAAATTGTTAGACATACCTCACTATCATGAAATTGATCAAAAGCAGATTGTAACTGAGTTGTGAGTCCACGAATTAAATTATCCAATCCATGTTTCTCTTCTAAAATTTGGGGTCGTCGCAATACATCAGAAAACCGCACAGTTCCTTTTGAATATCTATTCTCCTCTATCAAGCTAAAAATTAAAATAAACAAAACTGGTTATAATTATTATACAAATTTTAGAATTCTAGTGATAAAGTAATTATCTGGCATTTGGTTGTGAATCTATTATTAGTATTAAATACTAGTCAGACTAGTATACAGTATTGGCCATCGAACATCTTCCAATATGCCTTGGCACACTCAGCGGTTGAGTGCCAACTCTCCGGGTGGTAGATAGGAAAATGGCCAGGTTTTCCTTGGTTAGTGGTAGACATAAGTAGAGTGCGAGAGCCTTTTGCGAAGGGTACCGCTGCGAACCAACTCCCCCAATTTAAGGTGTAAGGTAACGGGCTGACGAATGAATTGTCGCAGGGTCATATACGGCGGCAAACGCTCCCCAGAGGGTACCTGGCGATACCCACGGGGCTCTGCGTCGGTCGACCTTTTTTCCCTATCTACTCGTGGGAACCAAATAGATTCTGAAATACTAAAAAAAAATAAACAGGCTGGACGTTAACGCTCGCCTCCAGTAAATAAGACTGGGCAACAAAGTTCAACTCCAGCGCAGGAGGCTGAACAGAGACGATCACCTCCAAATAAGGAGGATGGACGTCAACGCTCACCTCCTGCAACGGAGCCTGGACAACAAAGTTCAGCTCCTGCACATGAAACTGGACAGCGACACCCACTTCCAAAAAAAGTAGGATAAACTCAGTAGTTCACCTTCAAATAACATGTCTCGGAGAGGTAAGATAATCTCTGGATCTAAAGCAAAGAGGAGGAAGAGAGATAAGCTGAAGGCAACCGCTACCCTCAGCAAACGCCCTCACTTCAAACCAAACAAAAGCGGCTTAATCAAGTTCTTAGATAGCGATGCTAGTTATGCCTCCACAAGGGGCCAGGAACACGACGCAACTAGGGACAAGAAAAGGCCGCGATTTCACACTTCTCTCAAGGTAACGCCCCGAAAGGGGAAACACCCAGACAGGACTACAAAGTTTTGTCTGGGATAAGCTACAAAGATGCAGCTATAACCCATACGGTAAGATAATGGGAGAGCTGGACAAAATAGTTTTGCCCGCCTCCTGCAGCAAAACCAAATCACCCACATTCAGGTATTGGACGCACTCTGGTGAAATCATAAGAGTAACGTGCGATGATGACCTGACGTTGGAATGGCTAAAAACCAAGGTACCGACCTTAAAAACATGGGAAGGAGCAACACTCGCAGTTGTAAGGATGGACGAGCTCCTTAAGCTCACCAAAGCCTCTCTCTGGATCCCCGGGGAAGCACAAGCTGACCTTAACGAGAAGGATGTTGTGCTCAGGCGACTTGAGCGTCAAAACCCAAAATTGTATGTGCCGAAATGGTGCACCTTCCATCATGAAACCACAATAGACCCCAAGGGCCAACTCTTCGTCTTCGTAGACGAAGACATGAAAACCCTAAAGGCCAAATGAATTCATCTCATTGTCTATAAGGCCAAAGCTAGAATAAGGGGATGAAGCGGGGCTCAGTGAAGACTCCTTGGTAAAGGACCCAGTTTCCTCCCAATTTAAGTCAAACCAAAAAAAATGGCAATCAAAACTCCGAGGAGCCACAGGAGATCAACCCCTCCCCACTGTTCCCTATGTTTAACAAAGGACCGGGAAACAATAAAAGAGGTAACGATCATACAGTATAACTTGCAGCACAACATTATGCCTTGATGAGCTGCAAGATACAATAGCACTCATCCAGGAACCTTGGATAATAAAAACCAACATTTTAGGTCTTACAAATCTAAATGGTTTAATTTATAGCTTTCCCAGCAATCAACAACCTGGTACAGCTATTTATATTCCTGGGAAATACAAAGCCCACTCACCTCCACCTCCGATTTAACTGCGGTTATGATGGAATACGTCATTAAAAGGGGAACAAAAGTTAATCCTGGCATCTGCATACCTCCCCTTTGACGCAATCATGCCACCACCCACCCAGTAAAGAGATGGAGGATCTGATTAAATACTGCCTGGAACAAAAGTACTTTGAGCTAGTAATAGGTTCCGGCTCAAACGCTCATCACTTCAGTTGTGGCAGTAAGGATAACAGCGCTAGAGGTAAGTCTCTTTATGATTATATAATTACCAAAAATCTTTGTATTTTAAATAAAGGTACTACACCAACATTTTTAAACTCTCGCAGTTAAGCACTAATAGATGTCACTTTATCCACAACTGGTACCTATCTATATCATTTCTAAACTGGCAAGTGTCTGAAAACATTTCGATATCAGACCACGGCTGGTTAACATTCAAAATAAACTTGATGTTGCCGACCTCTACGCTATCTCGGATCGGAACCCTAGGAAGATGGACAGTGCAACATATGCCCACCATCTCCAAGAGGCTCTGAGAGAGATGGAGGCCGAAACACCAAACAATAACAATGCTTGGGAGAAGTACTCGAACACTATCCAAAAAACAATAAACAATGCCTATACGAAATACTGTACCCTGAGGCTGGTCCAACACGATCAGACGACTATCGCATGGGATGTCACGAGTTGGATCACCTCAGAAAAATGGCTGAGAAATACTTTAATAAGGCAAGAACTCAAAGAGAGTTCTCTTTTTACTTACAAATCTCACCTCGGAGAATACAAAAAAATCGTCAGACAAAAATAGAGAGATTCATGGAGATCCTACTGCAAATAAATCAAAGATTTCTCGCAGGCAGCGAGTCTATCGGCTAACATCGGCCGATATAAAAGAACCTCTTGGCGACATTGTCAACTATATTAAATATGTAGGCTGGCTCACGAGCTTAGGAGGATGCATCCTCTATACGTTACAGATGCCTTGGCACAAGTTTATGTGAAAACTACAGATCGCCAGCACTAGGGCAAGCAGAAAAGGAACAATACCAGCCTGGCCAACGGTTCAACGCGGTCCATTCGTATAAATGACAACGTTGACGACATTCTTTCTTCGTTCGCTCTAATGCCAACTCTCTGTAGGTTTCACTAGTGTAATGGAAGAAGTTCAGTGGCCGACATCGTATTTACCTTATTACTAGATTTTTTTAAAATTGTTAAACTTTGATTAATTTAATTTAAATTAAATATAACTTACTGTAACCTTCCAACAATTAAACTGTGGAATTGTCTAAGAGCCCCTGTAGAATGTTCGTTTAAAACAGTAGCATCCACATATTCATTATAATCGTTTACAAATCCATCCGTTTTCCATATAATTTTGGTTTTTACAGCATTTTCTTCGCCAATAAAATATGGTAACCATTCGTAATACGTAATGTGTTGATGTTGGCCTATATTTATTTTTCGAGATTCCTGGAATAGTATCTCATCTTCCCAATGGGGATTAAGTTTGGAGAGGGTGTCAGCTATTCGGTTATGTTCTCGAAGCAATATCACATGGAGAAGGGCTAGCTGAGGGTTTTGGTTTATTCTTGTATCGCCTTAAATCGGAAATATGATTTAAAATATCGCAACAAATCAGTTCTATTACGAGGCAATAATTCGGGATCTAAAAGTTTTCGTTGCGTTTAACTTGCTTACTTAATCCAATCATACAAACGAAAGAATAAAACACCAAACGAAAGAAGTACGAAGCAAAGTAGGGACAAATAATACGTCCAAGAATGCAGATAAACAGCGAATATTGCTTTGTATTTTTGTTAATGATAGTGCTGTTCCTAATGAACAACCGACTAAAATATTTATATAAATACTTAAAATCGTAACTTCTGTTACTAATTTAAGGCGCAAACTCTAAACCTATAAAGTAATATCTTAATGTTACAGAAAAGCAACCCAAAAGAAGAGAATCGCATATTAGAGATAATTCGACAAAGAATCTATATGTGGTTCATGAAAGTAATTTTAGAAATATTTTTGACCTATATATTAACATTATTTAATAAGACAAATATATGTGAAAACTTGAAAAATCTCTTGAAAGCACATGAAAAGTTTTTCCCTTCTCATAACTTGGACCGTAAGATACATTCAGGTACCAAACAAGACACTAATATAGCGTATTGTTATACACAACTGACAACTAGTAGTAATAATAATATTCTCTCTAATTCACCTTCTACGAGTAAATATCAACCCCTGAAGCCGACTAAGCTTCTGTGGGGTAAGGGACGTCTATTATTATTATTATTATTATTTGATGTGGCGCTTCGGGACGACTTAAGATGATTAATGGTGCCATTTGACTTACAGGTGAGGAAAATGCGAAGAACCTCACCCACCATAATTAGTGAGACTTATGTTTAGCAAGGTTGCCATATCCCTTCAAAATCGTATAATTCTTATTAGAAAACCCTTATTAATAATTCTAATATGAAGTTATGTTTTCCATACCTGCAAAGTAACACGCATCTTTCGGTTTATTTAGCCTACATGTAGCTGATGCGTTCGCTGCTCTGGGAGGCCATTGATGTCCTTTTCTAGTATCGGCGCGTAATCTGCCGCCTTTAAATTCTCTCAACTGATGATTGGTTTCGTCATCATTTCCATATATAAACGATAAATCTAGATAGTGGTTCACGGAAGTTAGCTAAAACAATTTAAAACAGTGGGTATTTTAACGAAATAGATGTAAGTTGTCTTTGGTATAGTTGTTTTAAACAATAAGTCAACTATAAAGGTACACCGCGAGAGAAACAAAAAATTCCGCCTCCATTCGAAGATGCCCCAAAAACTCCTTAATATTATAACTCAATACAATTCCAAAAACAAGTCACTATAAGGGGTATGTCATTACGATGCCTTTTGAGGATAGTGTGACACACGGATATATTACTAAAATAGAATAGAGAAATCATTATCTTTCTTTATGTTAAGATGAACCGATATAGATGAACTTTATTATCGCATAGAAGGCAATAAATTCAAAAAGTGTCGGCAAATGTAGAAGGAGTTGTTATGTGTGTTTATTATTTAATTTAATGTTAGGCTATTTTTAACATTTATTAAAAATTAAGAAGATATTAATGTCTGATGTCAATATATCAGTAATTCTCTACCAAAAGACAACTTTACAAATAATATAGACAAAATTAGAAAAAATATTGTATGTAACACGTTCAGAAATGCCTTATTTTATTTAACGAGTGAATATTTGCGGGACGAGCAGAGTGAGGTCCCGCAACATGAATTGGTTTCATAAATGGCTTTTAAAATTAATATTGCAAAGTAAATATTCAAATAATCTAAATATCAGTTAATATACTCGTATCTACTTATACTATTGTTAAGAGGGAGATTACAGGCCTTTTTGACTGACCCTAAGTCCACTCTTAGCGGTAACCACGAGTTATATAGAGGGGCCCTATTTGTATTTAAATTGGCCTCTAGATAACACGTGGCTATGGGGGTTAAGTTCAGACGGGATGGGCCTAAGGAACCCTAACTTCCTGACGATGATTCAGAGGACAGGGAAAAGGTTTGCCCTACAGGGACTCTTCTCTTTGGCAGTATCTCCCTCTCTCAGAGATCTGACTAAGCCAATACCCCCGCCTTTGAATGATCGTAAGTTTTCATAAACCAAAGAAAATTGAAACAAGCGTAAAACAAATAACTATGATTTATTTAACAAATAAAAACAACTAGTATTGCTTCCGTAATCACGTAGTCTTTACTGACTACACAAAAACTAAATATAACTACTTAAAACTATTTACTTACATAAGCATTATATTCTATCTTTTATCACTATGGTTTTACAAAAAGCTAACCTCGACCCGTTACTCTACTTTCGGACACAAAAAAAGGAATCCACTTAATTCGAATAATTTCGACCGCTCGTCAACAAAGAACAAAAGAAACTTCTCGAAAATTCACTTGTAATTTTTCAAGAATTCTCTTGTTGATCTTTATTGACCCTGTACTTTAATATTATGATTTAATAAAACCTTGTCCAACTACACGTTTTATTATTTTATTGAATATATGTTTAGCGCGTCTGCCCTCGAACAAAACTTTACAAATCATAACGTACCTATTCACAGGGTGTTATATTTATTCGTAACACTTTGTTTAAAACATACTATAAAAGTTTAAATCTGCAAATCGAAAGGAACAAAAATGCGATCAAAGAGGTCGTCGTTTTGCTGATTTTTTTTTAACAGCGACCGAGCTTTTTTCTTCCATTTGCGGTATTTTTTTATAGTTTACTTATTCTTTAATACAACTATAATTAGGTGAGATGTTCATTAGTTTGAAAGATGTTGTCTGGGAAACATTAGTCATTTGTTTCTTGTCAAATAAGTAAATAAAAGTGGATGCTGTAAGACAGCAAGTTCTAATTCTTTGCTAGATTTTAGTGGTATAATCCGGCAACCCTTCTAATTTCGAAAGGTTTAGAGCGGGATTCGACGCACGACGATTGCCGAAGGCCATTGAAGCAGCCATTTTAAATATCTAATGATAGTAGATAGACAAAGCTACCACGGGACCACTTTAGTATCAAAAGACACCACTAGATGGCGCCACTTATCAGTAGTGGACAATTCAAACTCGACTGAATGGTTTGCGACTCGGTTAAGCGATCAAAGATGGCGGCCATCGTTTAAGTAACGTAACGTAAATTTAAGTTAGATATAAAAATCTGAGAAAAATCATGCGCAGTGACAAGCCGAAGGACCTAAAACATATTTCCGTTATTGGTTGGAATGGGTAAAACGGAGGAGTGGGGGGAATTAAATTTCTATTAACGTCGAATAGAAAAACCCTGCGCAGTAGCAATGCCAAGAGGACCTAAGCGTGTATCTCAGCTATTATTAGAATATGTATCGTATAGACAATTACAATACATCCATCCCCATTTTGTTTAATAATCTTTAGCGTTAAGGATGGTTGTATTTGCATCGGTTATTGGATATTGACTTAGAATTAAATTTGTTAAATATTTTAAAACTTTTTGTCTTCGTAAAATATATTATTATGTCTTCTTAGTTACTTAACTGTTTCTGCAAACTCTTCAATTCTACGACTTTTCTATTTGAAAGACATTTTGATACTAAGGAAAAAATGAAGATTGAAGTACCTATTTACTTTAAGGTAAACAGTTGGCTAGATCACTGCGCATTAGCTGAAAACTGTCATTTTTTCCTCCACTTCCCTGTTTTTCTCACTCGAATTACTACAAGATTCACTATTAGATCCTTTTCGCATTGCTACTGCGCACAATTTTATTTTCAACGTTAATCTATACCTCGTTCTCTACATAATACCGTTTTTCTCGTTTAAATACGACCAATAAAAACCGAGATACACGCTTAGGTCCTTTTGACATTGCTATTGCGCAGGATTTTTCTATTCAACGTTAATAGAGATTTAATTCCCCATACTCCTCAGTTTCCCACATACCAATCGGACCAATAATAACGGAGATATAAGTTTTAGGTCCTTTTGGCTTGTTACTGCGCATGATTTTTTTTTAATTTTAATTTACGTTACGCCACGTAAACCACTTAGTCGAGTTTCAATTGTCCACCACTGATAGGTGGCGCCATCTAGCGATGTCTTTTGGTACTAGTGGTCCCGTAGTAGCTTTGTCTATCTACTAATGATCATCTTCATCATTGTATAAAGAACTAATATTAGTATCACCTTATGGAAGTTTCATTGGAGCGAAATGAATACTACCAATAGATGGCGCTAGTGAATTTGGATACGTCGATAGTCGCTTGCAGTCGCTTATTTTGAAGTGGACGGACTTGAGGGTCGAGCTGAAATTTTTGCGATGACGGAGACCGATGGGTTTCTATTTTTAGCTCTTAGATGAAATTTTATTCACTCGTGATTCATTGTTTGGACTTTGGACTATTTTCTAGGTAATGGTTGTTATTGTGCATTAGTGCCTTTACGGGTAGTAGGTATTGTGAATGAGTTGTGTTTATGTTTTATTACTGAAATATTTTACTGTTAATAAAGGACAAGTTCCCAACAAGAGTACATGATTTATATAAAAAAATTAAATTATAGTTTAAATAAGTTTTTGGAAAGTGTCAAAAATGTTTACCAAACTCAGTAAAATGATACTGAAAAATAAAAATATTATAGCCATTATTAATTTTTGAATTTTTAACTTTAACACCCTGCATTTCGAAAACAGGTATTTTTTTTCTAAGCATATTTCGTTTAACTGTTTTATTTTTAATCAGATAATATTCAGTTGTACTATGTCCCATTCTTAATGATATATATTATGATATAAATTAGTTAACTATTAATTAGGTGAAATTAATTTTAAATAAATTTTTAACAACAACTTCTCCATAACCTCTCGTAGCACAACATGTACCATTATTACCATTATCGATTTTTACAAAGCATCGTTCGCGCATGATCTGCTCATGTCCAGCGCATAGCCCATAGCGGTTCTTTTAGCAACCAGTTCATATAAAACCTAAAACGGTGAATTAATTTTCCCTATCTGGTGTTTAAACTCAAAAGTGCCTAGCTGTTCCAATAAATATAATAAAATGAGTTTCTAGTAATTATCTTTAATTTATGTGTATCGTGTGAACGTTGGGATAACTGTCAGTACTCCAAGAAGAGGCTACTCCTTCAAGTATCCAAGTATCCAAGTACTGTCTCCAAGAAGACGCTACTTCAAGTAGATCCTCCAAGTACTGGCTCCAAGTATTGGCCCCGAATAGTAGCTCCAAGACGATCTTCCAAGTAAAAATTAGGAGCTACAAGTAGTACCTCTAAGTAGTACTTCCAAGTAGTACCTCTAAGTAGTACTTCCAAGTAGTACCTCTAAGTAGTACCTCCAAGTAGTACCTCTAAGAAGAAGCTCTAAGATCCTTTAAGAAGCTCCAGGCTCTTCTATGAAAACATATTAAGAGACGGACTCAATTAAACGGGACATTTAAAATCAGATAAGTTTTCCATGTTACTGAAAAACTTGGTGGCGCTCAACTTTTTTTGTCGTTGTCTTATTTTAATATCTTTCATTTTATCTTAAAGTAGATCTTGGCCCGCGAACAGATCAAGCTACTCTGATTTTATTTGTCCTGGTCAATTTTTGAATCCACACATATCAGCAATTTCAGCTAAATCACTTATTAAATAAATTAACAATGTAGAAATCTAGAAAGAAGGTAACAATTGTTTTAAAATTAGAATTAAAAATTTGTGTATCTATAACGGTTTTAAAATTAATAAAATAGAAAATATGCTTTTGTTTTTATTTTCCTTTACATTTTTTATCCGATTTAATTTTAAATAAATTATATAATATTAATAATAGCAATAATAATACATTTCTTGAGTGTTGAGAAAAATTGCATTTTTAATTCAAATACTTATATAGGTAGGTTCCTACCTAAGTACTTAGCATTGAAGTAAACAGAAACAACAACAGGTTATTTCTTTAATCTGGTGCGTAGTAATGTAATAAAAAAGACCCTTAAGATGATTAGTAAATAATATAAATGAATTCTTAACATTGAAGTAAACACAATGGGTTTTATAAGGATTATTTTTATGAATAATTCTTCTGAAGTAATTATTCTCAGGTGGTTCTTTACTGTTTTATTTAAGTCC